TAAAAACCAGCCAACCTAAAAGTGCATCATCCTCAAAAATGTAACTGTAGAGAGACAGACAATTTGGTGTCTGTTGGATATCCGATTCCTTCCAAAAGGGGAAAAAAACTACATGCTTCTCATAATGCAAAACACACAGTGGTCTTCAGATGTGGGAATACACCAGAGAATAATTTCCACTCAGAGCAGTGAATGAGAGCATAATATAGAGTACCTTTGAACAAATACTGCAGTGGCCTCTTACATACAGGGTTTCCAGGAAGGGAAAACATCTGTAGAGTATTAACTGACCCAAGAAACATTTAACGGGCATTTGTCAGAAATTTTATGCCAGAAAGACATTCAGAATTTAATTGGTAGAATTGCGTCAGAATTCCCGTGGGTGCCTATATGTATATGTAGGTATAAACATATGTACACACACATGCACGTAGTACACTTTGATAAAATCCACCCTCTGTTCTGACATGAGTACCAGCACGAGCTGCCACTCTTCTCCTCCTCTTTTCAGTGCCATCTTCCCTCGCCAGCTGTTCTGTACTCCTGCTGGCAACTTGAAAACTTCTGTTAGCAAAGTGGGAGGTGAGCAGAGCACCAGGGCTGGACCACTACGAGCAACTGTGCATTTGTTTCAACTGAAGCGAGTATTAAGGTATCGCTTCCAGTCCAAACGCATGATAAAAGTTATTTGGTAAATGAAACTAAAGGCCTTGCACCTCTACTTACTTGCCTGGGTTTAGCTTTGCATACACAAACGTCTCCCTTAACTTCAGAAGAATACACAAATACAGAGCTATGTAAATGATTGAGAGTTAAAGCCAGGGCCAAAGTTAGCATGCTGGCCATATTCTCATTGCATTTGGTTTTAAGAGCCATAATAGGTAAGTCTTAAAGGTCCTCCCTTTAAATGAATTCAAAATGGAAAGAAACAGGGAACAAAAGCAACATTACTGGAAAAAGACCTTTCTTAAGGTAAAAAGTCTGTTCCTCTGTACAAGGTTCAGCATATGTCAAAGAAATAATCAAGAGCTGCTAAGGCTGTAGTTGGATGAATACTACAAATTAGCTTGATTAAATGAAGGAGAAAAACAACCCCAAGCAGTGCATTCTTCATTCTGCCTTAGTTGTGTTTATTCCTCATTTTCATACCCTTCCCTCCCTTGTGCCAGCTGTTTATGCAGCTTCAGAGTGATCTGGATCACTGGAAACCAACTTTTCTATTTGGCAATGTCTTAGGAGTTGATCTGGGTTAGACTGCTTCCTGGTAATAGAAGTAGCTTATAAAGTTTGGGAAACACCTTAGAATCTCTCAAAATAAAAGGCCTACCTAAAAAAAAAAAAAAAAAAAAAAAAGGATATCAGTGCCATTACAGACTGATTTTTCTCCTAACAGCAAGGTCTTGTCGTCTTCGAACACAGCCTCTGTCCCTCAGCCCTCAGGACCATTACTCCTCTGGATTTGTTTGCAAAGTGTTGATGAGAAGTCACATGCCATCAAGTCTGCATGGTTTATATAGAAATGTTCCTCACTGCATTTACTTGAGAGCCATTACGGAGAGCAAAGGTCTAATGAAAGATGGTCATACCAGCAACCACAGTCACCTCCTCCTGAAAAATGCCTAAATAGACAAGCAAATCAACTTGTGAGTTAGCTCCCTTACAAAGCGAAATACAATTCCAATAAAATTCAGTAGAATGACTCCTATGTTTGCTTTTACAGGACTCTTGGTCATCCTACAACCCTTCCACATTAAAGAGATGAGCGTATTCCTCAAAGGGTCTATAATGGAAGTCATCTAGGCTACTAAGCAGAAGTTTTCCTCCCTTTTTTTCACTGAAGCATGACACACTAATGAATTATATCACTGTAGCATGGGTTTAATGGTATCTTCTGCTACCTTAATGGAGGATCAGAGGTGCTATTTTTAACACAATATATCAGACCATTACAATTTCTTCCATCACTCTGAATACAGCATAAGGTTAAATAAACTATGAGAATGTATTGCTACATGCTTAACACAACACTTCCCTGAAAGCTATGAAGGGCAGAGATGGTCTATTGAGAGATAATCACAGTGAAACAAACAAAATATCACACTTTTCATAAAAGCCAACATCAAATTCCTCATGATTACAGAAGTTATTTTGAAAGAACAACCAACAAAAAGAGAGAATTGGATATAATTTTAACTATCAGGTAAATAGAACCTTGAAACGTTTTATATGCTGAAGTAGGACAAAAGCGAGATGAAGATTTGCACTGTCAGATTAATGCGATGTTGGAAAAATATTCCAAGTCTAATCCATAGTGGCAATACCATTAGATTGGTTGTCATATATCACATCCTCTACATATTAACAGCCAGACAGCAGTAAGAGTGGCATTTCTATTTTACTGAAGTCTTTGATAAAATTTCTTCAGTTTTATTAAATTTTTAATAACAGTTGTATTTATAGTACAGCCAGAAAGATAACTGCTATCTATAGAAGCATACTATAACATGCTAGTTAGCAAAATAAAAAAAAAAAAAATAAAAAAAATCAAGAAAAGTTCTTCAATCACTGTTCTAGTCTACTAATTCATGTTACAAGAAATTAGATTTAGGATTAGAGATAGGCACCCATCTGAGTGGAGCCCAGGTAAAACTCTGTAGCCCAACTCATGGAAGCGACAATGGTAATGACAGAAAACAGACAGCTCTCCTGCCACTACTGTACACATCATTAAAGGTGTGCACAGCACAGTGTGAACTGCTGATGTGAACAGGAAAGGATCTTGCCTTCTGCCTGTAAATCCATCCTTTGATGGAAACAAGAAAGACAGAGACTACTTACAAGAACATGTAGTGAATAGGACAAGGGGAAATGCCTTAACACTGAAAGAGAGTAGGTTTAGATTACGTATTCAGAATAAATTCTTCCCTGAGGGGGTGGTCAGGCACTGGAACATGCTGGCAAGAGAAGTGGTGGGTGCCGAATGCCTGGAGTGTTCAGGGCCAGGCTGAATGGGGCTCTGAGCAACCTGGTCTAGTGAAAGGTGTCCCTGCTCATGGCAAGGGGAGTTGGAACTAAATGATCTTTCAAGTCCCTTTCAAACCATTCTGTGGTTTTGTGATTCTATGAAATATGTAAAAAGAGGGTCTCTGGTAGACTGGTGGTTGACCAAAGGGGTGGGGCTGAAAATCCTGATGATGAGCAATACTACCATTCTGGTTTAATTTTGGGTGGGTGGAACAGCTAAAGGAGTATCCTGAGATCAGCTCAGGGACTAAAAATCCTTAAAAGGCATTGTTGTTGCTTCTAATTCACCATGGACAACATGACTGACAGAAGGATGTGAGGCTGGGATGGTGGATAGATATTGTCTTGATGGGATGTACAGCCATGTCAGTCTCATCGTGGATGTTGGAGTAGCCAGCCTCTGCCTCCATGTTTCTGTGAATCTCTGCAGGCTCATTTATTCAGTCTTTGTTCTCTAATGAGTAGATAGTTTACTCATGGTAAACCTTTTCCTTAGTACATAGGCCAGACTCTTCTTTCTGTGGTCCAAACTGTTTCCTAAGACTGTAAATCATTCCCTTCCTTCACAAATATTGATTTATAACTTGTACAGATTGTGCTCATGATCCCCAGTGACCATTTTTTCCTAGACTCTTTAATTACCAAACAAGTCCATGGTGGAGTTTCAGAGTATTATCCTGAAGGGCATACACCACATCAAATGTCCTAGGAGTGGAAAATGCTACCCAATAGATTATTCTGGGAAATGGAAGAAAAATAATCTCAACATTCTGGACACAGTTAGGAGTTTGGCAACAGCACAGGCTGCTCTGCTCCCAAATTTTCAGTAAAGAAATGCTGAGAGTATTAAAGCCTATACATGAGACAGAAGTTCCCTGCAAACATTAACTCTTTAACATACGTAGCAGTGGTTATGAGGATGTTACTTTGAAGTGATCAGACTAAAAGATTCAGATTAAAATGTTACAAGCAGATGGGTTCTTAAGCCTACAAAAAGCTGCTTTCTTTCTGGACAGTATGGATATCCCACAGATTATTCTTCAAATGTATGTAGATATTGTTGGTACTCACAGCGTTAACACTATAATGTTAAATGGCAATGACTAGTTATTGTTATTACCAGTTTCTCTCATAATTGCTTTCAATCTCTCAGCTTTCTGTGAAGGTGCTCTGAATCTCCCACATGCTCCCAATCTATGGTCAAATCTCCCACATCCCTAGGACCCTTCTCACACAGAATCCATGCTTTGACTCCACAAAAACTACTTCTCCTTTATTTTCTTAAACCACTAAATGTGGTTTAAGAACGTGGGACTAAGAACCTTTCTCTCAATTACACTTTCAACACTTCTTTCTATAGCTGTTCTTTTTCCATGTTACATGGGAATCATGTGCAGAGCTCTATATCCTATTCTCTGCCTCCCAGTAAAGCAATTTGTTTAGTCATTCATGAACTTTCCCTGTTCAACTTTAGTATGACCCCAAAACTTTCAAATGCTTCATGAATAATAAAAAAAGACAAACCCCCTACCCCTTCCTTATTAAAGGCACACATGTGTGCATCTTCATTCAAGTTCAGAAAAATAAATAAAAAACCCAGATATGCTGGCAACTTGAGACACACAGACCCACACTCTGCATTCTCCTGCACCTCACAGGAATGTAGTGATGGCAATTGTAATTTCTAATCTTTAATCCCTCTCATTAGCTCTGAGCACAAATTGCACTGTGGTCCTAACCTTTCCCACCTTTCCTTTCCTACATAGAAATTAAGTGGTATTTCCCACAGGATTTTCTAGTTTGTGTGAATTGATGTTTGTGGGACAGACAGACAGAAGACAAGCTGAAAGATTCCCAAATTCCATTCAGCTACACATCCACCCTGTTCAAATCGACATATTTTCTTTGTTTTTAGGGTGCTTAAGCAGTAAAATATGTAGATTTAAGGAAGGATGTCTGCTAACAACCTCACTCACGTTTTCGTGCTTCATGTGTTTCAAGAGGCGCAGCTCTCGGTAAGCTCGCTTGGCAAAGAGTTCAGACTGAAACGGCCGGTACAGTTTCTTAATGGCCACTTTGGTACCACTTCGTCCATCGACAGCTGAGCTTTAAGGGAGAAGGAAAGAGTTTTTTTGGTGAGCGAGGACCGAAGCAAGCCTGCAAACGCGGCCGGCACTGGGGAGCGGCTGCATCCTGCCCCACGCTGCCTGGCCCTTGGCCCGGAACCCCCTGTGCCATGGGGGAAGATCACCTCCCCAAAGCACCTCGCCAGCAGCCGTCTCGTTTCATTCGTTTAAAAGGCTGCCAGGCCCTGTGATGAAACGTAGACAATTTTCAAAAGCTTTAAAGAGGAACATCTGGGGAGGGAAAAAAAAAAAAAAAGGCAAAAAATAAGACTAAAAAATCCCATAAACCCTCCAAATCCACCACCAACACTGACCCACACCAGGCGTCCCTCCCCTAGGGCTACAATGCCCCCCAGGCTCAGAGGGCGCGGCAGCTCCGGGGTGCCGCGGACCGGGGTTGGCAGCCACGGGCAGCGCTCCCCGGGCAGGGCTGGGCAGGGCCGGGGCTATGTTCTCCCCAGGGACGAGAACACGAGCGTGCCGGAGCCCGGAGCGCCCGTCGGTCCCCACGATGGGCCACGCTCCCCGGCGGCGCAGCCCGGCCCGGGCGACCAGGTGAGCAGCGGGGCCGGCCCCCAGTCTCGCTGGGCGGGCCCGCGGCCGGCTCAACAACCGGGAAAAGTTGGCGGGGAGCAACACGCCAGAGAGCTGGGCCGGGCCGCGTCCCCCGGGCCGGGGCAGAGGCCGCCCCCCCGCCGCCCGCCCCCGGGCTGCCCCCGCCGCCCCGCTCACCAGACGGCTCCGTAGGCGCCCGACCCCACCGGCTGCAGGTCCCGGTAGCGGTCCCGCACTTCCCAGAGGGTCTTGGTGATCTCCTGCCGGTAGAAGCCGTTCTTTGGGGAGGACATGGCGCTGCGGGCCCCCACCGGCACCCGCCGACAAAGAGCCCGGGCGGGGGGAGCAGGAGCGGCCAGCGCCACCGAGCCGGGCTGCGGAGAGGGGCTGGGCTTGGGCGAGCGGCACCGCCCCCGCCCCGCGCACCCGCCTCGGATCACTCCCGCCGGGAACGGGACCGGCTATGCCCTCTCTTCCCTCCAGCCCGGGCACCGGCGGCTGTGCTCTGGCGAGGTTGAGGGCGGACGGCGCGGTGTCCCGGCAGAGGCCGAGCGTGCCCAGGCAGGTGCCGAGGCTCTCGCTGGCTCCACGAGTCCTTACAGTGGGGAGCAAACCCATCTCAGCCATCTCTTCCCCCTCTTTCACCCGGTACCCGTTTCACGCTTGTGTTCAGGACCTGGTGAGGTGGCACTGGCTGGTGCATCAACGTGTTCATGATCAACGAGTACGAGAGGCTGCAGCTGGTACAGCTGGGAGTACAAAACCGAGCTTTTTTATGGCCTCTGCACTGGGGCAAATAGCTGGGGGCTGCCCAGATCGTTCGGGGGTCGGACCCCAAATTGCAACAGTATTTCATAGAGTTAAATAGAAACAAGCACACACTTGGTTCAGTTTCTCAGAGCAAGTGTTTCCATGCATGCCCGGAGTGATACAGAATTGTTCAAGCAGTGACTTGAAACAATTGCAGTCCTGGAGTGTGGACAACAGCCACCAGCTCACTAGTAAATCGGCCTCAGTAGTAAATGGCACTATATAATGGCCAGTCTTCGCGAGCGAAGATCCGGGGAAGGTCTTTACACCTTCCAGCCTGCGCATTGGATTTTTTAGGTGAGACACAGTGTGCGTGGAACTGAGCCCACCCTTTAATCCTAAGGTTCATCTGCCGGGGCCAAGCGAGCTTGGACGGTGGCAGCGAGGTCCTTAGGACGTAGATGGATTGCCTATTAAGGGTTAACGAGCTCCACCTGCCCGGGAGTGTCCCTGACCGGTAAATGGCACTACGTGTAAGGCAAAGACCTGATTTAAAAGGTGTTTTATATGTTCTCTGCTTGAATGTAATTAAAACTCTTGTCCTTCAGCTTCTGGTAAAGCCTTCGTTTTGTCTGACTTCACCTCTGAGCAATGTTGCTGAGGTTAGATAGTTCTGACTTGCTGTCGACAGAGTTCAGTTTGTGGTTTAGTTATAAAGGGGCAATCTGGCCAAGTTTTGTGGTTCCCGATGCTTTTTTGGTAGTTGCCATGGGCCCAGCCCTTCTCGTGCCTGACTACTGAATGTGGAAGAGCCATCCTGCTCTCTCTCCTCCCAGGACAGACGAGGAACACATCCTTCCAGCCAAGAACCTTGTGTTCAAGCGTTGCTCTCTGCTGAGCTCTGACCCGTTTGACTCCCTGGTTTAGTGAAAATGGAGAGCAGCCTTCTGACATTTGGCAGTTGACGTGAGACTTGTGTATGACAAGTGTTAGATCAATGGTAGATGTTCACTTTTAAAAATCTGCTGCCCCAGATTTTCTGACATCCTTTAATGCTATGTTTGCCATTCAGATAATGTCTGGAGTGAAATGTGGTATAGGCAAGGTGATAGAGCACCTTTTGCTCAGTTTTGAGCCACTCCATTAGTTAAATTACTTTTAATGACAAATATATGTGTTTCTAATACAGTGAGGATTAGTTCTGCTTTTGATCCCTTGCCTACTTTTCCTTTATTCAGTTGTGGCAAAGTGATACTTTCTTACTGCTTGTTCTTTATCAGGCAGAAAGACTTTGATACAGGAGATGAAAGTACTAAGGGAGCACTGAGACAAGATCACTCTTGTGCAGAAGGTAAGAATACTGCAGAGCAGATTTTGTAACATATTTTTAATTCATTGACAATGTTAGGCAATGCTGGTTTTCCCACGTTTTTCCTTAATGTAAGTATTTAGGTACACATAGCTATAGATAGATGAGGTAGCAGTGTACATCAAATACAAGACCACCTTTCCCCCTCGGGTCACACATATAGGAGATGAACTGATAAACTTACTGAAAAGATCAGGAAACCAACACTGTTGTAACAAGGGAAGCTTGTCTAATAAACTGTCCAAAGTGTCTATGAATGGAGTGAGACAAGAAACTTGGATCCACCCACAGCTGCTGGGTCTTACAGCAGTGTAACAAACCAAGTGAGCCTCTGCATCATTCAGCTTAGCTGTATTCAGCTAGGCTCAGCTGAATACATGGAGATGTATTTCCCCAAAGACAGTGTCTTGCAAGGAGACCAATAGGATACTGTGGCCATATCTTCTCCTGAGCAACATGTGCCTGACAGGATAAATTAAGAAAGGAATGCTATCAGATGTTTCTGCTTTTGGCATATGTTTATTGTGAAGTTAATAGAAAAAAAGGGACCTTCTTCAGACATCAAAAATAAAACATAGAAAATGCATTAATGGTGCAAAAATTCCACTTTTCCAATGCTCATCTCATAAAGGGAAGCCTTGAGAGGTATCAGGGCATGGTTTGTTTTTTTTTTTTTAAGAGCCAGCTTTTGAAGTGCTGGAAGGTTGCCATCAGCTGCAAAGCATATGAGGTAGATGGGATATGTACAGTACTCCTTCTAATTCCTCTAGGAACTGAGAGCTCAGTTTACACTCCAGCCTGGAGGTGATGCTTTGGTGCTGAGCAGGAGCTCTACAAGAAAGAAGTGAGAAAGCTAACCATTTTTTCCTGAGAAATCCTGCCTGTATGAAGTCTGCTGAGAGAGTTTGATGGCAATGCTGCTCACCACAAACTGCTAATCAGAGATAATAAAATGGCACAGTTTTGTTTGTTAGGAGCTGAACTGCTGATGAGCTACTGGGTCTCAGGTGAAGGAGTGCATTTGTGTAAGCAGAGAGAGGGACTAGGACCTGTTCTGCAGTCTAGGTACTGATAACATGGGGGAAAGCAGATCATGCAAAATCCTTTGAAAAATCAAGCATCTTCCCACCTTTCTGTCTGTTTATGTCTCTGTGTTTCACATGATTATTTTATTCCCAATACATTAATTCATATATGAATAATTTAGTTGTGTAAAACACACCTTAAATGTCAATTAACATTAAATATCGATGAATTGTTAAAATCTGATTCCTAGAATATTATTGTTTCTAAAAAGCTTTCTATATCCCCCCTTCAAAAATACTCTGTGCTTGTCTGCTTATGCATGTTGCTGTAGAGGAAGTAAGTTCATTTTATTTATTACAACAAGAACTAAAGATTAAATTTTAAAAAAATTGCAGTTGTAATCTGAAAATACTCCCATTCTATTGTGCTCCCACCCTTCCCCACTGGAGTCACTGCCAACAATTTTACAACTTGTCTGGTTTTACCTCTCTGCTCCATAAGCAGGGATACTCAGTTCCAGCTTCTGTGTCATGGAGCCCTCCTGGGGACCTTGCCATGCTGCAAGGGCACTCAGCCATCAGTAGAAAGGAATAACTATGCACCGCATAAGTGCTTTTTTATTAAAAAAATATTTTAAAAATGATATGTTTCATTTGCTCAAGAGTTCAAGTGAGAACTTACTAAGTAACTGTTTACTAGCCCATTATTCTTGCTTTCTACAGGGTAGTGGAGGAAGTGAGGTCGGGTGTAGAGGGTAGCTGACAGCTATGTGTAAATCAACTGCTTTTAACACTCTCCTAACTTTTTCTCCCCAGATTCTGCTAAAGGGTCCTCTCCTACAATATACTGAAGGAGTTTAATTTTTAAACTATCACAGATTGTCGCAGTATGAGATACTATAGTGCACAGAGCAAAAAAATACTCTTTGGAATTACCCAACTTCAATGCAAAAACCAAACAAAAGGAGTATTAATAGATATCCCTGATAGCTGTACTTATTTGTCATTGCATGGTTATGCACACCATCTGTTTAAATCACAAAAAACTTAATGGTAGTCTTACCCCATCTCACCTATCCTCCTCAACTCTGCCTCAAGTTTTTGCATTTCCATCTCAATGAGAAAGCTGGACAGGACAGGAGTACTGTGTGTTAGTTTTGCACAGAATGTAACATAACTACAGCTTCTTGATTGCATCTTCGGGCTCTAATATAAAATAGGAATATATTATTTGAATGCTAATCTAGAGGATATTATGCTGTAAGGAGCAAAATGGAGGCTGCAAGTTATGGCAGATCTAATGTATACTTGTCTCAGGGCTGCCACTGTGGTTTAGTATTTCTGTTGTGTTCAATATTACTTGTGATCAAATTGGAACCTAAAAGGACTAGATAAAACCCCTATGCTATGGTACACATCTTAATTTGTGACACTAATTGGAGCTGGGGGACTATGTGAGTGCAAAATGAAGCATTTGTATGCATGCAAGATTGAAGCCTAATTGAAGAGTTTCGCTCATTATGTAGAAATTTCACATCTAATGGATTAAGTGTCAGATTGGTTGGAAGATCAGTATTCACATAGAAAATTCACAATATATTCCTTCCTTGTAGTGAAAACGTAGACCCTTTTAGGCATATCAGTTCAATATTTTATCTTACAGCAGAAAGAAGGGCAGTGGCAGTTACACTAATGCATCTTTCTAAGTCTCTTGGTAGTAGTCTCTTAAAACCCCTTACCCAGACTCATAAATTAATGACACTTAGTACTCTCATTTGTGCAAGCGTGTTGATTTTCTAAGGACCAGTCTTTACATCCATAAGCAGTACTAGCAGCGGTAAGACAAACAAGCAGCTGCTTTTAAAGCAAAGATGTTGGTATTCTTTCTAAGGAGGCTGATCTTGTTGAGGCTGAATCCCTTTCTGCTGCCACCAAAGGACATAATTTACCCAATTTACAGTGTCATTTTCTTTTCATGAGAGCTAAATCTTTACCACTGCTCATCGGTCAGGGATTCTTGGGCCAAGCCAGCAATTTACAGATGTAGCAAAGGTTACTTAAGTAATTTGTGCCTGCAGCTTAATATAGTACTTTTTGAACAGATTCATCTTTGACCCAGGGAAAAGAGAGCGAGGAAAGTAGAGGTCCAATTTCTTGTTATGATT